CAGTTATTTCTGTCATTAATGTAGGTGGAGATTTCCATAGGCACAGATAGCAATTAGGCATGCAATTGCCAGTTAATTATGGGGGACATTAAGAAGTTATTTCTGTCATTTTTCCAATGAAGACATATTAAACAGCCACCGAAACCTTCTTCACAAGCCTTTCCACACCTAAGAAAGCAAACTGCATGAGCTGAAAAACTGATTCAAGAGGGGCATGGGCACAGAACTAAACCAAGGGAGTCAGATATTCCTTCTACTTCATCTCTCAGCAGCTTTTGCTCTCTTCAGTCTGCTTTCTGACTGCTTCTCTTAGACAAGTATGCTCATTCACAATGCAGCCTCACTTGGTCATAGTGATTTGGGGATGCAAACAGCATTTAGTTATGAAGTGGAAAGCATTAAATATCATGCCTAATGAATAAATGCTTTAATTATGGCTACCTTAGCACTTCAGAGCTTGTAAACAGATGTATGTGAAATATATCCAAATGAAAGAGTGAATTCGTACATCATACAGTGAAGTTAAACAAAACTATCGAGTGCAGTACATATCTGCCAAAATTAGAAGTATTTAAGGATGTGAACAAGTTATGATAAAGATTTTGCAAGTTACCTTGGAAACCACTTTGCATGCTCAATCCATGGATCATCTCCAGACTCCCAGCACCTTAACCCACCATCACAGCAAAAACACTTAACGTCATCGTTGCGGCCTTTAAAAAAGACAGGCAAAATATCTAGCAAACATTCACACAATTCGCTTTAAGGTAAATGCTGACACAGCAATATGAATAAAACAGAAGACCTGAGTTTTTCTTACCTACGTAGTAAAAGCCAGCATCCGCAAGCTGTTCAGGCTGAACAGGAATTCTAGTTGGCCAATTTATGAATGTTTTAACACGTGCTTCATGGGTTTGCATGCTCACGTTTGAAACATTGAAACTTGTCTGTTCTCGGGTAAGGTTTTCCACAAAAGGGCAGTTAGGAAAGTGTCTCCGGTGCTCCGACATAGCATTATCTTTGGGTTCCCAGTTACTCAGCTGCCCACCACAGGTGAAACAAGCAACTTTGTCTGCTGTCCCCAGGTAATAAAGTCCAGCCTTTGCCAGATCGGTGGGCGAGAGAAACGTCAGGGGCCATGAGTGAAAAGTGCGTAGTCTAGCATCTTCTGTACTCATAGAAGGATTGTGAAGTTTAGGTCTCAACAATGAAAGGTCTTCAACTGCCCTGGTAGTTATTGGGTCTTGAGGAAAACTGGAAAAAGAGCCACTGAAATATCCAACTTGTTCTGAACTTGGAGAAAGCGTTATGGAATGTAGAGATGGGGAGAGACTGTTTGCAACCAGAGGCGAAAAGGCAGAACGAGAGGAGAGTCCGAGGTTGTTAAGTGAAAGCATGTTTTGAACAAAACTGCAGCCAGGATACAGCTGTTTGTGTTTTTCCATAGCGTTATCTCCTGGCTGCCAGTTGTCCAACGTTAAGCCACAACTGAAGCACTTAACTTTATCTTGCACACCAGTGTAATAAAACCCAGCCCGAGCAAGACTTCGTTCCGACACCGGCACGTTAACGGGGAAAGTAGAGAACGTCGACATTCTGTAGAGTTCACAGGACAAGTCATACTTCAGTTCGCCACAGAAAGCGCTCTGCTTCGCGATGCTAGCCAAGAAAGGGCTATTTTCCATTATGTTCATAATGGACTATTTTTGGAAAAATGGGACAAGTCTTCCTCTGGGAGGTAGTTGTGTGCATTAAAGGCAATTTTGGAATAACCCCTGCCTGTACAAAAGTAAGAACCTGAAAATTAAATGCTTCAATGTGCAACTTTGAATGCGTATGCGAACAGAATTAGCCTCATGATTAACAGCTTTTAAAATTTGGGAAGTTCTTACACTTTAGTTTACACAACTGCTTTCTGTGCAAAAGCTGCTCCGGCCCATTTTGACAACTGAAGAATGCATGTCAAAAAGGACTTTCCCTTGAATCATACAGGCATCACATGCTTTCCTTGTGCAGTATATCTGGGAGAGCAGCACCAGCTTTTCAGGCTCGTGAAGGTGATATCCAGAGAGGAAAGACCTCAAAAGGGTTTATCAAAATCCTTTGTCAATAAAGAAACTAAAATGGGGGGGCAACTACAACAACGTCGTTTTTGACCAGAACATCCATTAAGTGATTTAAGAACTATTTCAACCTAGACAGCTGATAAATACACAGCTTATACACATGTAAAGCTTTTAGTTTCTAAACCTCTTTAGGAGGCTGAAAATAATGGTTTATCAAGCTCAAAAGGCACAAAAAAAAAAAAGCCCTTGAACTCACTGGTATACTAGACTTCCAAAAAAGCCCTCAACTTGTGCATATTGTTGTAATAATGGTTAAGACTACAGAAGTTAGTACATACTCAACTTCACATACATCGAATATTCAGCTACGAGATAAACAAATCCTATACACTGTCTCTGAGAAGGATGAACTGCCTTAATTAACAAGCCTGGAATAGTCCCAGGCTTTTCTGTCTATAACATTGTCTGCGCAGATTGAACACAGCATTTCAGTTTTAACCTGGTGCCTTAGTTACACGTATAGAGTTATCAAATTTAGCACAAATCAATTGCCTTGTGTCGGGACATTCTAATGCTTTATACGGTTGAATTAAGTTTCTTCTGTATGCCATTTTTATGGCATACAGAAGCAAACAGAATCCTCAGATTAAAAAAAAAAAAATTTGAAGCCTTAGTTTCTTTATTTGTGCACAGAACTACCTCCCAGAGTTCAGACTGAAGTCCCTTCTAAGGTGCCTACGCCTCCATGTTGATACACACTGTGCGCAAGAAGAAATTGTTAACTATCTATAGTTTCAATCATTTAATTCTTTCGGGTGGAACAAAACCTGCAAGGAAGAAAGAGAGGAGTGTTTCAAAAATATACAATATGAGGTGCATGTAATGTCTATTCAAACAAAAAACTATACAAATTAAAACACTAAAGTCTCAGCATAAGCTTTTTTGTAATGTTAGTGAGAAAGTTTCAGGGAGTCAACTTTACACACTGTCATATGGAGTGGGTTTAATACATGTAATTTCCCTGTTACTGACAAAAGCAGAACTTTTTTGGCAAATGGATGAATCAGGCTGCTCGATCACAAGCTGTATAACTAAAGGTAAGATACTGTGCTAAAGAAGTTGCATCCATTTAAATTGGTTTAAGCATGCAGATTCTCAAACAATGAAGGTCCAGTTTTATTGTACTGACTTAATTTAAGAGTACTGGAATTTCTTATTTAGGTAAATTTAATAATACTTGAAGCACAGGACATCAGCAAAACTGAACACCAAAAAATTCAGGCAAGAGCAAAGACAAAGTTCCAAAGTTTTTAAATATACAATTTTCTATTAATTCATAATCACATATACAGCAGTCTCTTTTACAATAACAGTTTCCTGAAAAGTTGTTCCAGGAAAGACTCAAAACAGATAAATTTGGCATGATGACCCAGCCCTAGAAAAATCACCTACTGGAAAACAGCAGAGGATTTCCTACACATCTCAATATCTCTTATTAGATTTGTTCTTAATATAGTTCCACTATTGCTACTACCACTTAATCACTGAGGATGTGAGTTGAATGCCTTTCACCAATCCACTCTTTTAACACTGATGGTGGGACTAAGCTAACAACATACACATAATTCATATTTAGGAAAAATTTCTTCACGGACAGGGTTATCCAGCATTGGAATAGGCTGTCCAGGGCAGTGGTTGAGGCACCATCCCTGGAGGTGTTCCGAAGACAGGTTGACATGGTCCTCAGGAATATGGTTTAGTGATTTTTTTATTGCTTATTTCTTATTTATTTTTTTTGTCAGAGTTAGGTTGATGGTTGGACTAGATGATCTTTAAGGTCTCTTCCAACCTAGACAATTCTACGATTCTATACACAAATGATGCTAGTTGAAGAAGTTAAGCCACTTTCCACACTGGAGAAACCTCAGAGTAAATGCTAGAAATATCAGAGCAAACTGAGGCCCCTATAATCCTAAAACATTTAGGAGCACTTAAACCTGAGATCCTGTGGTCATTTTCTGCCAAACATTCCTCTTATAACATTACCCTCCACTAGAGCCCTGAGTATTCCTTGATTTCCAGAGTCACCCAACTGCTCTGAATCTCATGGGGTTTTTTCTTGTATTATCCTCCAGCGACACTAAGAAGTTATTTAAGTCCAGAGCAGCAATATTTAAAGGACAACAGCCTCAAAACTCAATTTAATATTTTTTTGCTCTTATGTTATGACCCAAGCCAAACTAGTTTACCGCCGGAGCACCCTTCGCTACGTTTACAGACCTGGGGCACCAAAATCTCCCCACCGGCTCCCGTGCTCGGTCGCACAACCCGGGACAGCCCCCGCCGTCGCCCCCCGACACCGTAGGGCCTCGACGGCCGCTCCTCCACCCTCACCCCACCGCCCCGGCCTGCTGGGAGCCCTCCCGGGCCGGCCCCAAGCCCCGCTCCCCGAGCGGCCATCCCGCAGGGCTGCCTGGCTCCCCTCCAGCGCCGGAGACCACGGCCCAGGGCGGGGCAAAGCAGGCACCTCAGCCCGCCCCGGGTCTCCCCTGCCCCCGGCCTGCCCTGACACG